TGTTGAAGTGTCAGTGTTGGTAAATGTGCATTGTCACCTATAAATAAAGGAAATTACTGAAGTGGACAAGACACAGAACTATATCCCTGCTCTGTTGCAGCTTAGCTTGAATGTCTTAATGGAGTCTGTCATCTTTATATTTTTTACGAAATGATGTCATTGTCAGCGCTCAGCTGCTTGTAGCTGGTTGTCTTGTGTTTGGATTTGCCATTGTGATTTTTAAGACTGTCTCTCTTTAAACATTTTATTCTAACTGATGATTCGCTGTAAATCGCCAACACTGGTGGTGGAGTGGACATCTCATGGTCTACGTTGCATCTGTGTTTACATTCTCCTCTCAGTCGGTCCTAGCCGGAGATGCTCTAGTTTGTCTGAAGCTCTTTACTGGCTCAAGCTTGGTTGGCTATTGTGTAACTTTGTACGAGTGCTTGTCTGTGTTAACAGCACTGTTAACATTAAGATCTGAACCAGAGCGCTGCCTAACTCTGAGCTTGTTTCTGCGGTGATGCCCCAGGGCTTCTCAGCAATGAGAAAAGCAATTACGATAACTCTCTCCAGCGTGACTCCTCATTTGTTCAAACTTGCACGCCTTGCTTGCCTTGCCTCTGTGGGCGTGTGCAGGCATTACAGTTGTTGGTTGTGTGTTTGGTGATATGCAGGATGACAGTGGGTCAGTGTCTCGTTGGCCCTGTAGGAGGTTTTGTGACTTATAGTAATTTTATGCTTTCATATAAATGGTACAATCCTCAAAATTCTGCCACAGCACAATATCAAGGTCACTGAGTAACTTTTAGAGTCCTCTGTGTACTGCTATGGAGTGGTGCTTGTGTGTGTTTTTTTTCCTATTCACACCTGTTTTGGTCCCAGTTACAGTTTTAGAGCAGGTTGAAGTGCTGAAGATATTTTCATAGTATCATTTATCATAATGAAAGCATGAGATATATAAATCCTGACTGCACGTCTTTGTGTTCAGTAGGAAAACCGGCCTGAGTCGAATCTTTCCCGTTTGCAGTATTGCTGTACGGTTCTGTGCTTAATTTTGAGAAGCTCCACTGTTTTGTCTTTGTTTTTTCTGTCTTTCTTTTCTTCAGAGACACTGAGAAACTACTTCTCACAGTATGGGGAAGTAGTAGATTGTGTCATCATGAAGGACAAAACTACAAATCAGTCGCGAGGCTTCGGCTTTGTTAAGTTCAAAGACCCCAATTGTGTACGGACAGTGCTGGAGACAAAGCCACATAATCTTGATGGAAGAAATGTGAGTATTTTAAATCAAAGGACCAGATTGTTAAATCAGCTCGAGTAATCTGCCTGCGCTTTGTGTGAACAATGGGGGGAAAACTTCAAATTGTATTTCATCATCCGCAGCAGTTAGAAGGTATTTGAGGGGAAGGACAGTTTTTCTTTTGTTGTACATGCCTGACGCCAGTCGTACAGATGATGCTTTTTTGCAAAGACTGACATTTGTTTGCTCAACAAGACTTACCTGTTCAAAGTCAAATTAGCAAAACTGGCACTTAGAGTTTGTCTTGTGTGAGATGACAGACAAGAAGCATAGTGTTAGAATCTAGTTACTACTAAATCTTACACACAGTCTGCGTCCTGTGGTTGCCATTTTGTTGTGCTGATAAAGATGCATGAAACTGTACTGACCACATATTTAGGTTGCTGTCAGTACACATGCTGCACTGTTACATGAGCTAAACCAATGATGGATCGAGTGAAGAGCATTTTGAAGGTGCCTTTATTTGAGGCTAATGTCAAACGTTTTTTTCCCTCTTTGTTGTCAGATTGACCCGAAGCCATGCACTCCCAGAGGAATGCAACCTGAAAAGTCTCGAACCAAGGAGGGCTGGGTAAGGAATCTGATTTCTACTGGGGAGGCTAGGCTGGGTGTTTTTTTTTTTGCTGGAATAAGGCTCAGGCCGTCAGTCTCAACGTCCTCTGCTCTTCCTGAGGTTGGACTAGTTTCTTTTGATGGGCCGTTAGGAGACGTTGAGCTTCATTTATAAAAACACTCTGACTTTGACCCAAATTTTTGGATATTGTTTTCTTTCAGAGAGTATTTCTTTCATATTTTTAGGAGATGCGCACAGCCTTCATACCATTGAGAATGCTAGAAATTAGCTCGGGGTTTTGATAAGTCACAAAAGCATTAAAAGAATCTATGATTTCTTTTGACCTCTATATCAGCAGCTGTACAGCCTTCACTTATGTGGGACTGGCATAGAATAAGGTCACATTTTTCCAGGTGTAACAAGAATATCTTATAAAGTTGCCTCTGTCGCCACACACACTAAATGTTGTAATTACATTAGCATGTTTCTGAATGTAAACTTTTTTATTTTTCTTGTAGCGGTCCTCCCTCTCTGATTTAAACTCAGAAAACAAAAGAAGGTTGAAGATGAGTTAGCTGCTGTGGTGCATAGAATTGCTTTCAGTAGTGAGTTTTTTGAAAGGCGGAAATCTCTGCTCCAACTTGGGTAATTTATGGGTCGATCAACAACGCGACCAAACCCCTGCGGACCTATTATAGTCATTTTGTCCCTTTTGGGCAGCAGAGGCTTTAGCTCGCACGTCTTTGCTGTCAATAAAATGTTTTTGTAAGTCACGTATTTGGCTGTAAGCAGACTCTGTGTGTCAGAAGCTTTTATAAATGAGGCCCTTTGCCTACTACTGGCACACTTTTCACTGACTTTAAGTCATGTAGCTGATACAGAATGTTTTACTGAGCAAACAGAAGATGTAATTGTTAAAAATCAGTGTTGTTGTAAGCAGCCTCTTGCCTTTACGGCGCGAGCGCGGTGCACAGAAATGGTGAAATGCTTAGCGGTTGAGAGTAAGTGGAGGAAGCCGTGCTCTCTGATCTGTGGAGACTAGTGTTTGCATTGACATGACATGTTAAGAATTATACCCCAGGGCAAGAGGAGAGCCTAATTTCTTCTGCACTGTCTGAATAGATGATGGCTAACTGGCCCCTTCCCAGAGTGATCCTTTAACAGACATTGAAATCCATACACTCCCTGTTTTTTTTCAGAAGGGCAGCAAAGCCGATAGCAATAAATCAAAGAAGATATTTGTAGGTGGAATCCCCCATAACTGCGGCGAGCCTGAACTCAGGGACTATTTCAATAGATTCGGAGTGGTGAGTATTGCCAAGTACTTAATGCAAGTCAGTTGATATTGTCATTAAGACTGCTTGAATGGATGTGACATTGAACAGGGTCAATACTACAGCATAAAGATTTAGTGGGATGGGATAGGACAATTAATTATTTGTCCAAATTGAGGCAGAATATTTAATTGGAATAAGAAGGGACCCTGCCTGGTTTTCTAAATGGAGCCACTGTTTCCCTTTGTCCCATTCAAGGTCACAGAGGTGGTAATGATCTATGATGCGGAGAAGCAGAGGCCCCGAGGTAAAAGCTGATCCCGTTTTTTTCTCCCCTCTCCATACCTTACCATCTTAAATCTCATGACAAACTATTCTGGCCCAAAGAGAAAAGGCTCATTCTGCTCCAGATATTTAATTCAGTTAAAACACTATAAGCCACGACAAGACATTTGTGTGTGGCAAATACACACAGTGCAACAAAATGCACGTGTTGTTAAATGACACCCGCACAAGGTCACTAAAGTGTGTGTAAGATGGATTAAAAATGACCTTCAGTTTGTATGAAACTGTCCATATAAAAGCCATTGTTTCATGTAATTTTCTCACACAACACAGCAGTAAATATAGTTTTTAAACTACATCTCGGCATGTATTACACGGTCACAGCTGGAAACTGTAAATGTTTTCCAGAGACTGGGCTTTAAATTGCATCGTCCCTCCTGGTACTGTTGGAGTACATGAGTCTCATCCATGTTTCCACTCAGTTACATTTATTGTTTTCACAAAAGATGGCAGTCTTCAGGCTGAGCAAGGAAATAAAAAAACATAGAGAAATAAAAGCCTTTAACTGAACATATTGGTTAAAACACTGAGTGACCTCAAAGGGTCTTCATCAGAATGGAAATGTTAATAATGGTCATTCTCAAGGGCACCTTAAGGCTCTGTGGACTTACCACGCCTCTTTATCAGCTCTCTCTGCTGCGTTATGTTGTTTTGTCTGCAGAGGATTGAAGTTGGAGTAGTTGTGACTGCTGCTTATTATCCCAGTTAATCATGCACGTAGCAGCCCACCAGTATCTAATGTGTCCTCAAAAATAGTCAGGTGCCCACATGCACATTTATTTTAATTATTCCTCACGTTCATATTGACTACTAAGAGATCCCTTCCAGTGTGAGAGAGGAGACAAAATTACACTTTATGTGTATTTACAGTTCATGAGGATGTCATTGGTTAAGTTATGATTAGTTTTTATTTATTTATTTATTATAAAAATCACAATAGCACTGAATGTGAAAGGATCTATTAATGGTGAGTCTGAACAGAAGGAATAAACACCTTCAGCCAAAACTATTAATGTTTAATAGTTTATTGTTGTTGTTTTTTAAAATTTACAACAGACTTGAGAAAGACCATCAGCCATTCCTTTATAGGACAAATCCACCCAATTATTGACATTAACTTGTGATCTATCAAAAATTCGTAGCTCCTTCCTGCTCTTTGTGTTTCTACTGTGGATAATCGGCAATTAGATCAACTAATCGTTCTCCTTAACGGCATTTGACAAAAAGCAAAAATCTGCAATTTAAACCGTCTAAGTTAAAAGAATAAAACTCACTGTATGAATCAGGACGCTAATTGTGCCCACAGCAGCTTTTCATAAAACACAATCTAATTTAGCTACAGGATGCTTTATGTTTCTCCACTAAAATTTCCTGAAGAAAGAAGTTCTTGCAGTTAATTGGAAAGTTATTTAAAAGACGGTCTGGGGAGGAAACCACTTCCCGAAAAGGAGGCAGGTTGCAGGAAAATAGGTGCTCCAAAAAAAAACACAGTACTTAATCACTCCATGCAACTGGCACATTGAGAACAGTTTGAGCATCTTAAGGCGGATTTGTCCTTCAAAGAGGCCAAAATGTTGCAGGTGAATATAGGTTTGTTATCATGAGAACAATGGGATGATTTTTAACAGGTTTTAGGTCCTTTGACACCTCAGAACTTTCTGTAACCTATTTCCTGACTGCAGAAATGATGGACTTTCATGTTTGTCCAGCTCACTCATGTATCATGAGTTTATGACATGTGTCGACACTTTTAGCATGGATGGCCTCGCTGGGAATCAGACCCGTGCCACTGGCAGCGTTGGTGTCACACTCTCCCCACTGATTTACAGTCACAGCTGTTTCATCTGCATTTGTCCTACATAGGAGTGATGCAGCGGCCACTGACCCACAACATGCGTTACTGCTCTTCCTTCAGAAACCATATTCATTCTCTGTTGGGGAAAGAAAACCCAGAATAGTTTGTCATTGGAATTTAACATGACGTACTGCACCAGTAACAGTCATTACATAATCTTTAATAGTATAAACAGTTTCTTTTTACTAAAACCATTAGATGTTCAACATTGGAATAAGTTTTCTTTACCTTGATTTAGCTGTAACTGATACATGTATCTTAAATGGCATAGTATGTGTTTTCCCATATGTAGAAAGTTAAGTATTTTTGTAAGTAAGCCCTTTCTATTTTTCTTTCTTCTGTCCCCCTTTTCCTTGTGAATGGTTTGAATGTGATTAACGGTGTCTCTTAAGATTTGTCTTTTCTCCTTTAGGTTACTGTGCATTGACAGGTAGCACAGAGGTACAGGCCACATGTAAAAACACCTAAATCTTTTACGCCGTCAGCATGGGGTGTACACAAAGCTGCATCAGTTTGCCGACTGGGCTGAGGGATTAGAGATTGTCTGAAACTGGAGAGAAGTAGTTGGTTGAGGCTTTCCATCAGGGTATCGAGATGTGTTAGGGGCAGTTAAAGTTTTCAGTCCTGTGTTCGATGGAGCACCTGATATTAACTTATATCCTCTGAATGGTGGTTATATTATAAACGTAAGATGAAGTTTCATAATAAATCCTGCCCCTTGAAGTAAAAGCCTTGTCTCACAAAAATTAAAGTATGGGATCAGATCATTTTGCTGCATATTATTATAAAATATTAGAAAGTTGTGAAAAATGGTCATCCTGTCCCTGAGCACATTCAAAAACCCAGATATTCAATAAATGTTAGATATTTAAAGTCACAGAAAAGTAAGAAAACAAAGTATTGCTCGTACATGTTCGACCCAGGTGCTTTTTGAAATGTTTGCATAATAAATGACTTCAATGATTACTTGACTATAAAAGTTGTTGCTAATAAATCTTTTGTTGTTTGACGAATCAATCACTAAAAAGTGGTTTCAGCTCCATAAATGTTGAAGTCAAATTATTTCCTAGTTGTGCATGTAGTAGTCAGTCAGCTCACAGTAAGCTGATCGCCGACATTTGATTTCACTAACCAGTCCTTACAACTTCACTTTGAGTGTCACCAAGATATGTCGAACTCTTCAATGTGCCAACTCGGTTTCAAATTTAGGTTAGGGACGGGTCATTGACAGATGTTATTAATAGCGTTAGATCATGAGGCTTGGGAATGTTTGGCAGAGTACAGGAGGTCTCTAAAATCTCGGTTGTCTCGTAGGACATTTAATTGGATTCAGGTTAGGTCCCCAAGTAGAGATGTGCACACAACCCAATTCTGCCACAGCGGAAAGTTAATCAAATTGAAAGTGGATCACTGCAGCGTACAGCCGCTTGGTAACGTTCTAAAGAGTTGTGTTGCAGAGCGTTACATAGAAAAAAGTGCTTTGGTGTAGCCAAAAAGTTGAAGCAAAAGACTTTTTAGACCGTGTTCTCGCTGATGCACTTTGTGTATTCCCCCAAGAAAACTCTTGAGAAAAATTAGCAACTTGTCTGTTTGGGAAAACACTTCTGGCCTATATCTTTGTGTTACTGTTGTGAACAATATTTTAATTGTCCATTTTAGGCTTATCCTGGCTGACTCAAAAGTAAAATACTGAATTTGGGAAAGCTCGGAGAAAGCTTTAGGCATTCTACAGTTTGTGTTTCTCCATATTTTTGTGATGCATTAACAATGGCTGCTGCGAGTGTGTGCTCCACAGCATTATACCAAGGGACAGATCAAGGTGGGGTTTGGATGAAACAGCATGAAGTAACAAAACGTAGTACTGGTTCAATTGGCATCCATCAGTTTCGTGTTCAGTCTTGTCAGAGCGTGGAAAATGGACTTAACTGACTTTCTCTGTGACATTTCACACTAAATCAAGTGCCACACCTGTCATCCTTCATGTTTAAGAGTTAAGCAGTCCATTATTGTTATCTTCACCCAAATATTTCTCTGCACACTAAAGAGAAAAGTTTCCTTTAATCCCCCAGGCGTTAGTCTTGGATTTGTGTTGTTCTGCAAGTCTGCGACATCATCCGAACCCCAGGAGCCTCTTGCTCAGTCTTGACGGATCCTCACTCTGCTGAAGCCCAATACTGTTCTTCATCTTGTGTTGTCACAACCCCCCTGCTACCTTGATTCACTCTTGGTCGTTGGCTAGGTTTTGGATTTATTACTTTCGAGGCCGAACAATCAGTGGACCAGGCTGTCAACATGCATTTTCACGACATCATGGGCAAAAAAGTGTGTAGTTGTAGTTTTATTTTACCCTTAAGATCAAACAGAGGCTTGGGCGATGGAGCGAGATCTACACTATGATGCTGTGTAATTGCTTAAATCTAAGTTTCTGGTGGCTTCCTATTAGCGTGTGCAGCATCATACACGGCACAAATTCAGCCTCTGACATCCTAAAATAATCAGGCTACTAACTTGACTTACTTGTCTTAATTTTTTAATCGCACTACACACTGCTGTCACACCTTATGCTTTCATAGTTTCTAAACGCACTCATCCTTCAATTGCTGTTATATTACAGTTTTTATTGTCGCCCAAGGCTTTGTTTAAACTGACCACTCCTTTAGGATGTCTGAACCGCATTAGATTTTACTTAGTGAATTAACACAACGTATTTTCTGCTTTTCAATGTGCTTAAAATTTAAAAATGGTTGCAAAATATAGAATAAAGTTAAAGATTTCAATCAGAATTTTGCTGAACATAAATCACCTAAAGGATTGGTCCAATCAGTTCTGTTTTTTTTTGTTTTCTGATGTTTTGTTGGCAGGTCACTTACACGTCAACATGTTTTGTTTTGTTTGTTTTTTTTCTTTCTTCTTTTTTCTTTTTGAAACGTTAAAGAAAAAGCTCAACTCAGTGACCTCAGTTGAAGAATCTCCATACTGTGTCTGTCAGCTCTCTGAACAACAAATGAAAGTCTGTCTAAATTCTGCTCAGGATGAGACTTGAGACACACAGTGATATTTGCATATCACTTCGTAGTGTTTGCTTTAACTCAGTGGGCGTACCAGATGGATGGGGTTTACTGCATAAAGTCAATTCAGACAGTGTCAGGTAAGCTGTCCATCCAGGAAAAAACAGGAAAGTCACTGTGGTGTAATATTTAGGCACGCTTTCTAACCTCCTGGCACGCCTCCTATTGTACTATTTTATTCAGCAAACACCACCCACCTGGCACCTCTGCTGAATAAAACCAACGAAAAAGAAAATGCAAGTTCTACTTGGTGCATATGTGGCTGCGATGGGGCCTAATTCTTTAGTTCTAAAGGCGCTTTTAAAGCTTCATTAGCAAACCTCCCCTCCTCCCCGAGAGTCAGTTTGTGTTTAGCAGATTTTAAACCACTCCGCAGATGGATTAAAGGAGACACAGCCTCCCTCTTGCCTCCATGCAGACAGTTGTTAGTTGTGGGCTGGAGAAAATGATCAAAGTCAAACATAGTAGAGCTACATCCACTCAGTCATATCATATCATCACACGTATCCTGTTTCTGTCCTTGATCTTTGCATGGCTGCACGCATGGTTGAAGTATTCGAAGGTCAGTCTGCGATACTCGACACACAAAAGACTTCTGTGTATATTGTGGCACTTAAGTGAGATTTTTAACTTGTATAGACGAGGCTTTGCTCCTTTTTGAGATACTTCAGCGTTTGCTTTCTTGGACGTTTTTCACGGTAAATCTTGATTTTGTGTAAGTGGTGCATTTGTTGTCTATTGAGTCAGTGAGCAAAGTGTTGTGGAGGCTTTTCGTGCTTTTGGTTTCGAGTGGAGACTGATCTGCATTTGGGAAATGATGTGCGACAAAGACCTCCAGCTGAAGTTGTTGCAGCTTATTGTCGGTACCTTAAAGCACCTGATTAACAGGGCACCGTCTTTCTTTTTGTTCTTCACAAGCCACAAGTCAAATTATGCTATTCCCTGCCAATTATGCTTCTCCAGGAAATACCTACCAAGCAGCTCTTTTGTTTCGATCAGGGAATATAAAGGCTTTCCTGAACTGGATTTTTTTTTTCTCTCTTCTTCAAAGATAAGAATAGTAACAGATTTTTATTCAAATTATTACATTAATATGATGAGCCAAGTCCCATTGCCTTGGTAAATGATTCAGCCCAACCTGTATACTCTCCAGTGGTACCTGCTCCCCTTGACTTTGCCCTCGTTTCCAGCAGGAATCAAGGCTCGACTTAATCCATTGTTCTTGACTTGACATTACCTTACGCTGGGACTTGAGGGAGGCTGGGAGATATGAGTTACAAAATTAGAAATTGGAGCACATCAAACTGTGGAACAAATCCCAATTCTGCTGTTGGGGACTGTACAGAAGTCATGGTATCCATCACTCGTAGCTGTGATGCCCACGGGAGAAAGTGCTCAGGTAGCTGCCGGCGGCGGCGAGGCCACTGCCGGAAACATGTGCATGTAATTAGGTCGACAGAGAAGGAAGAGGGGAGGCTGGGGAAGGTGGTAACACCTTAAAGCAGGGAGGAATTTGCGATTCGTTTTCCTCCTGCAAGGTGACCCCAATAACTCAACCCCTCAGTCTATTTCTGGTCGGCTCCCCCTTAGTCTCAGCCTGTTTCTTTGCTCTGGTTAACTGCTGGTAGCTTTGCCTAGTTAGACAAGAAAGTTTTGTTATTGGGGCGCTAAATTTGTACTCGACTCAACGAAACATCAATAAATGGCAGTAAAAAATGACCACACAGTGACGAGAAATGCATGGGTAAAGTAATTATCTGAGCATTAATGAATTAGCAGAGTGACATTTGTGTCGTATAATTAACATCTAAATAATATCAACGAAATCTGGGACACCATGATTGGCAACTGAGGTTTTATTTGTGTCCCTCAGCAGTAATTTGAGATTATATTGGGTTCAAAGCTGCTTGATCTTAAAAAAAAAAATCTTTACCTTTGACACAGTATGAAGATTCAGTTTTAGATTGACTGAAAAGACTGTTCATTTTTACTATCTGCATGTTTACTTTATATTCTGTTAGAACTGAGATACAGATTTCTCTCTACATCCATCCCCCCCCCTAAAACTTATTCCAAATAAAATAAAAATGAGATTCTTTATAAGCGTTAGCTGGAGAAAGGTAAGTCATGACCTTCCATTAGATGTCTTTATCATATATAGGCCAGTTAATACCAAAGAAAGAACAAAATCTATGTTTCTCAGGTACATTTTAACAGGTTGCGACCTTGAAAATTCTATCATTTATTTTTGCTGTCCTGACATGACGATTGTAGAAATTCACCCTTAATAATTAGTACCTGAGACACATAGCTATACAGCTCTTGTGGCTACACAGTAATATACATTGACATAGCTGCCCCACATAAATCAAATAAACATAAAGTGGACGATTTCAAACTGGCCCAAAATGTTGAGCTTAAGCATCAGTGGTAGGACAGGTCTGTCTAGGTGAGGGACTTCATGGACCGTTTGCTGGTGTTGCCAAATGTGCCCTCCTTGTCCTTTGTCCAGGTGGAAGTAAAGAAGGCCGAACCTCGTGACAGCAAAGCTCCTGGCCAGCTTGGCCCCGGCCAGTGGGCACCCAGGGGCATCTTGAGTGCAGCTAATGGTTGGACAGCACAGCCTGCCCAGGGCTGGCAACAGCCTTATGGGCCACAGGGTGAGTGGGAACAGGTCCCAGAGCCGAGCGAGAGAAGCTCCCTGATCAGAGGAAAACCATGTAGCAACTGTTTAAATGTGTTAAATCCTCTGCTTAAACATTAACCTTGCACATGTAGGTCAGCGTTTGCACAGTCAGTGGAAGTCAGTCAGTTTCAGCACTAAACTGTATGAAGTGAACATTTTACATTTGATGCATCAGCATTGTCCTCAGTCTCAACTTCTTTTTTTTCTCTCTTCCTGAAGGAGTGTGGGTGTCAACTACTGGCCAGCCCATAGGTAGGTGTTCGCCCTCCACTTGACAACACACAGGATACATCGCTCTGTTTTTGGCCATTTTTACGAGTTTCTTGTATGTTGTGTAACTGTGAGATTGCAGATAGATGTGTCCTTGCCGTGTGATCATGTGCTTATCTTGAAATGCTTGTGAGACAGAAATGGGCTTGTACTCAGTGTGGCCAATGGGCTGGTGACAGTTAACAGCGCATGTTATCACTGATTCATAATGGCTGAGGCTGCTGATAATTTGCTGCTTGAGACAGATGGCAGCCTTGAATGGATTCCGGCCTCCCTCTGCTATTGGTCAGGCTCGGCTTCATATCACCACCTCCGGGTCAACCTGCAGCGCTCACTGCAGTGTCTGCCCTGTGTACACTCTGAACATACTTTAGCTTCAGATAGTGTTCTGCAACTTCAGTTTTTAAGCAATTTATGTGTTAACTTGGCCTCTTAACCAGCTGTTCAATAAAACGACGACAAATTCAGATTGGTTCTGGTCAAATACATCCGTGCTTGTACCGCTGTATATAATTAGTATTATTGCCTGTGTCCTTCGTTTAAGTCCTGTTAATTTATATTAAAACAACAATAAATGTGTTTTTTTGGGGGGCAGGTGGGTATGGACCTCCATTGACAGCAGGCCGGGGAACCCCCACACAACCTCCGTCGCCCTTCAATGCATTCCTGGTCACGACCCCGGCGGGCAGCTTTGCTGCACCTCAGGGCTACCCTCAGCAGGGTTACAGCACAGCACCTCAGTTTGGTCAGTCATACTAATGTACTCCATCAATACACTTTACATTTGTTTTGACACTATAAAGTGCTGCCAACCAATGCAGTGTATGAGTAAGAGTGATGATGAGAGTTAGGTAGAATTAAAGATGTTTCTGAAAACTGGTTTGTGATTAAGGTCAGAGATAGTTTGTCTATTATTTGGTCAAAAAGTACTATGTTCTTATGTTTAACCTTAGATGTTCTCTTCTTTAGAGTGCAGACAATCTTCTAAGTAATGCTAACATTATATTAGTACTGAAAACAACATAATTTAGCCCAAGGCAGTTTTTTTGTTTTTAGTAAAATGAGTGTGTAAATGTTATGTAAGGTTTTCATAGCAGCTTTGCTGCTGCTGCTGTGTTCAGGGAGGAACATTCATCTTATCAGAGATGGACAGCATGACTAGCAGACACCCAGAATTAGTGAAATGTTGCTAAAAGGACTATGGGGGATTATTCCCTTTAATTATTAAACACTGTTGCAGATGTACCGAGCTAATGTTGTGTAAATCATGGATAAAATTTCAGAAAAAAGAGCAGGAAAGAAGCCCAAAGTAATCTAGTACAAATGTGTTGGCAGACTGGTCACAATTTGATCTGGCAGCTAAATAAAAAATAAAAAAAAAAGACTTGTATTCATTTAACTGAACTTTTATGCATGTAGTAGATATTATGTAGAGAAATGGGATAATACCTGAACTAATAGTGGTTTTTGTCAGAAGGTACAGCTGCCAAGAGCCCTCAGCTGAACTAGGGTCGTCTGGTTTATGGTCTTTGTACACATAAACAGTATGAAGTGATAAAGCAACACTAGGAAAGTATCTTTAGGAAAAAGTCACAGAAACGTTTATCATCAACAGGTTACAGTTTTGGCACACCCCAAGCAGACCAGTATGCTCCACAGGTTCCACCTCCACCCACCACTCCAGGAACCGCACCGATGGGCTTTGCTCCCGCCACCACACCAACTCAGGACTTGAGCAAAGCTCCCACTGGGCAGCCCGACTTCCCTTATAGCCAGTATGGTAAGAGAGCATTGTGCATAAAAAGAAAGTATGCTGCCCCCTTTCTCTCCCATTTGATTTTATTCACCCCTCGGTCCTGCCCATCTCCCTGGATATTTTATTGGGTGCACCTACTGCTCATTTAAGTTCATGACTACGACTCTTAGACAAGCAGGAGCTTGCTCTTGGTACCATTTAGCTTGAACAGCTACACATGCATACATGCTTCCTGCATACATGAACCCCTGTGGCTCTGCCGTGAAGATGCTGCTGAAGTTTCACGATATCCAGGAGTCCTCAGCAGTCTTTTCTGTCAAGTTTTTCCAGCCGGGCTGTGGACTGATAAAAAGATTGGTCGGTCTTGGTAGGTTTGAATTAGATCATCCTGCCTTGCAATGTTTTTTGTTTGTTTGCATTTTATTTCCCTTTGATTTTACAAGGAGAGCAATCTTACACTGACTGACTGTATTAGACATCTGATTTGGTTCAAATACTCCTACCTTCTTACTAATCCCCTCTTTGCCTTCTCCTCCTCCTCCTCTTCCTCCCTGTTAATGACTTTGCTGGCTTCTTTTCCTGGTCTTGGCACGACTGCCACAGAAGAGCACCAGCATGACAATATTTTGCCCATGAAACCTTATTTCTGGAAGTAGGCATGTCCAACCTGCCAAGCTACCTATCAACATTTTCCAACATGCTCATCAGATTATCCCACACCGGAGCTTTGCATGCTTGTCTGCAAACCGTGACCTCTGCCCCGCCCACCCGCCTCGTAGATGCATACAGATGTTGGTTAGACTCCTGTGCAAGTCATTTTGGACTGATGTGTCTGTAGGTTTTTCTTTCTGGTGGGCGTCTTTGTGGTCTTTGAACTGGACTGTTACTGTAGTCTAGCATTACCTTCGGCCTGTGTTGGGCCAGGATAATTATTCCTGGTGAATCTCTACTGAGCTGATAAACTGTTGGCCAAATTTCAGTCTGCATTCAGAGACTTGAAAATGAGACATTTCTTCAAGCCGCTTCACATTTACCTGAAAATTATGATTATTACTTTGTATGCTTTAAGACAATTAAGGGTTAGCTTCAGTGACGTACTCTTACTCATGCAAGTTCAAGAGCCTGAGATCATGCTCAGAGGAAGACTGTGAACACCAACCAGCATCCATGGGAGAGGAACAATAATTGTCTTCATTCAACATTCAGCCATGTAAGCACAAAGTCAGATAACAGTCAGATGTTCATTCAGAAGCTTCATCCAGTTTTGTTTCTTTTTTGCTGGCTGGTATTTTTGTTTTGACTTGGCTTACAGCTGCTTCAAACTGCTGAATCTACATTTAAAGCAGCCATGTGATCTCTGTCAGGCGTGACAGGTGTCCATCGTGTTCAGTGTTTCCTGCTTGTGCTTATCTTCCATCCAGCTTTTTGCTTTCAGTGTCCGCTGCCTATTCAGGCTCTTAGTTCGGTTATCAGTCCGTAGAAACAACGCGGCCTCGCAGCGGTTTTGTGAAATGAGCAGAAAATGTGGTGCTGATGACAAAGCCACAAAATGATTTAAGACAATAGCAGGCACTGGATGTAACGCTTTATGTGGGTAAACTTAGCGAATGGGTGAGATTAGACTAAATAAGTTTGATTTTGGTCAAAGTTATGTTTGACTTATGAGGAGTTAGACAGTTTAAAAAGGTTAGACTCGGGACCAAGCCAGTGGTTTTGCATGTAAATTCATTAATGTTTAATTTACAGACATTATTTTGCGATGCATACTATATATATTTCAAGTTGTGACCGACCACTTTGAACACGATTTGCTGTGAACCTTGAATCCGATTCCTAACAGGAGATTTTTTATTTGAATGGTCCAAACTCCTTATTGGAGCATTCGAGAACACGGTCACATCTGAAATTTGAGAGTTGACGGCTGAGAAACACCGTGTTTTAGTGCACAAAGTATTTTCTCTTGAGGTATGTCCATGTTTGTCATTCAGATTTTAAACTGTCCTTTAGTCCATCACTAAGAAGAATTCTCTGAGCACTCATGTAGATATCATCTTGCACAGAAAACTGTAATTTAAGTATCCAAACAAGACAAACCAAAATGTAAAAAGTGCACTCAACAGTAGCTCAGAGAAAGATCAACAGCACACTGTCCATCTGAAGCAAGTTTCCCATTGATCCCAGTCATATTTTCTATGCAAAACCACTGTGTTTTTTCCCCCCCTGCTTCTTCTCGGAACTTTTTTTGGGTGGGACGACAGATTTCCCACGTGACCTGCATCTTAGAAAAATGCACATTTCACAAAATTCACGAGACCAGGCTGGCATGATAAAAGAGTCAGGCGTGCTAGCAGATAGGCCACACTCACCGAAAAGTAACGCCTCTCCGAGCCAAGCGCAGACCCAGTAAATGAGTATAAATGTACAGCTCTGTTAGCTCAGTAAGGGGGGAACTATGTAAAGTAGTTGGCCAGCAGTATCTGGGTTCAGTCAACCTGGTCTCCTCATCTCCCTGATAGGCTTGGGTAACTACCCTCAGGACCCCTCTGCCTACGGACCAACGCGTCCTTCTCACAGTTATGGTCAGGATGAGCAGGGAGGATATAGTGCAGGTAGGTGCCAGCATCGTCTTCTCCAACCACAAAAGAAGCATTTGTTCAGTCCTGTAGTGTTTATAGAGCTGCAACCTGGTTCTTTGCCTCCTTTCTTTTGCTCTTCGTTTAGTATTTTGCATGTACATTTTGCATGTACATACAAATTACTGTGTGTACTCTTGTATAGTAAGACCCAGCTATCGCCTGTCTCGCAGCTGAGTGGATTTGAAAGAAATTTACATTGAAATTTGGCAAACTGGGCTCTCGGCGTGTCACTTCCCTCAGCAGCTGTAGCTTTACTATACCAAGACCAACCATGTCCTCATTTTTTTTGTTCACTCTCTCTGTCCGCATTGCTTTGCTGATTGTAAAAGGATGATCTAATTGTCAGAAAATTTGTTCATGGTTCAGTTGTCTCTATGCATCAGCAGTCCATTCACCCGTTGTTTTTTCCCCCCCATGTACTGTCTCCACATTATAGCTAAAGGGGTGAGAAAGGAGAGAAGATTTAAAGGAGGCCACAATACCAGTAAATTTCTATTTCCCTCAGTTCCTTGTGTCTGACAGTCCTGTTGGGACCGCTTCCTGTCCTACAGATATAAAGAAATGTGTTCTCTGATTTTCCCCGTTTTCTTTCTCTTTTCTCTCTTGTCTTTCCATTCCAGTTGTGTATAACTTGCTGTAAAACAGTATTTATCGGTAACATTTATATCTTCACTCTCGTGTTGACTGGATGTTACCAGGGCAGGAAAATAACCAGTCACCCGGAAGATTCTGGAAAGATCTGGCCAGCCATTTGGAAACAACTCCTTCAGTCTTTTCACTTTAAAAGGCCCTTTGGCTTAGACAGGGGCTACTGAATTTTGGGTTACACCAGCTATTTCTGCAGGCAGATTAGTTTCCTACCCTGGAAGTCAGTGCGGTTCGCTCATGTGTTTGCAGGGAGATGGTGCCATCCAGTGTATTAGCAGAGGAGCATTATGTATGCTAGGCTAATCATTCAAGACATTGTTTTCCTCAATGAAGCCAGCTTCAGAAATATTTCCTAAATTCAGCTTCGTTTTGGTTTTGGTAAATTTTAGCACACAGTTTTTGAGATAAAGGGAAGTATCGCAGTAATTTAATCTAATGGAAAAATCCTTTTTAAAAAACTGCTATTAGCAGCAACGCATCTACAGTTCTAACCCTATTTTGTTGTTTGGCGTGTGATCCATCAGCTTTATTCAAATTAAATTATATCTGCTTTGCACAAAAGTAAACACAATTTAGAGTCCTTCATACAGAAATGCAATGAAGATAGAATAGAATATAGAATATGTCTTTATTGTCATCGTAACGTACAACGAAAATCAAGTGCAAACCTGAATCAATGGGAAAATAAAAGGGACTAAATGGGGGAAAACAAACAACAATTAAAGAAAAATCAAATCAAAGTGAAACATATATCTTGGAAAGACTTACAGTAGCACTCTGCTGAGCCTTTCTACTTAATAATCTATGATCTATCTGAGGTTATCTGGCAACACCCACTGTAGAGTTTCACTGGTAACAGAAAATGTTCAACAGATAAACACTAACAGGCTGAGTGTTAAATAGGTGCTGAGACAAAATGTTCAAATTTGAAATATGAAGGCCGTTTGATTATAATAGCAGCTGCATCGGACACAGTTTAGGGTCAGAGGTGGATTTTGTCCCAACATAACCACTGTCAGTGAACCTTTAGAAGAGTAAGGCTCCTCGAATCACGCTGTGGTGACCCAGAAATTAACACCCTCCTCTTTCCGGCTCTCTCCTGTCGTCCACCTCAGGGTACGGACAGGACCTGACAGCCTTCGGCCACAGCTTCGCAGACCCCAGCCAGCCCACGGCCTCGTACGGCGCCCCGACAGCACAGCCCGCCGCCGCTCCCCAGCCCACCGCCAGCGCGTTTGGCAGAGGGCAGAACCACAACGTACAGGGCTTCCACCCGTATCGGCGCTGACCACCCCTGGGCAGGGCCGCCGTGTAAAGTTCAGAAACAAAAAAAACGACAAAAAAAAGAAGTCAGGGAAATGTGTGTTCTTGCTAAAAAGAAAAAAAAAAAAAAAAAGCAAAACTGGAGTTCTGGATTGTTCTTGAGGAATGTTGAATGCACACAGTTTGTGAGACAGAAACCTTTGTGATAGCAGGGATTCCAGTACATTTAAAAGGGGTGTAAAGAAACCCAGGGGTTTTTTTTTTCTTTTTTTCGTTTTTTTTCCTTGGTTTTTTTTGCATAACTTAAGGAACATTCAGCAGAAAGAAGCTTTTATCCCCCACCCCCCAAACCCATGTTTTATAGTAGAACTAAACTACTTTGCAATAATTTTGATTGTCTGGTCAAACACTAGCACAGAGACTATATGTAAAGAGACTTGCATATAAATATGTATATTTATGGTGGACACAAATGAAAACAGGGTCTCAAGTTTCCTCAGCTTTAAATTATAGGGAAAAAATGTTTTTATTTTTCATTTGGTGAATTTTGTTTACTTTCTGAGCCTTTAAAGTTTGTTTAAAATGGAGATTATGAATATATATATATTATACACAAACTGTGCAATTTTTTAAAAAGAGAATTTTGTACTATAAATGTACACTTTGCTTGTTTTTTTATTTAAAGATGTAGACTTCCCTCAGGTGGCTGTTTTGGGTGCATTTTTTTGCACTTATGCAAAAAGAAAAAAAAAAAGGACAAATTATTACAAAAATAAATGTTTTAAGGATAAAATGCTCGTCCTTCATCTCCAGTGTATTTGCATCTCGTGTTTCTGTGGAAGTGCTGCAGAAAAGGGCTGAAACAACAGAGCAATGACGAAGCAATAGCATATTCATTGACCATCGATTATTCATTCTGTCATTCTTTTTAACAGGATTTCTAATATCAGGATTTGCTGGTATTCTTTGTTTTATGTCTGTTTATTAAATGAGCTTTTGACTGCTGATTAGAAAAAAAGGAGCCATTTGTAGATGTGACTGTGATGAAGACTTTTTAGACAAAAAAAAAAAATTAAGAAAATACCTGTCAGATGAGTTGATAAAGAAAATCATGATGAGTCGCAGCCATAAAGCAAAGAGACAGAACCCAGCATTGGCTGTGTTTACAGCACATTGTGACTTTTTTGTAAAAAAAAAAAATAATAATAATAACATTCTGGAAATGTTCCCTGAGGGTTCCTGTTTTGTGTGCTGTGGTGACAACTAATTTCGAGCTGCTTGTAAAGTTCAGCTGAGCAAACATCCAGGGAACGTTCCCTGGAGGTTCCTGTTTTGGGGGCAGACCGGTGGAAACGGGTCCAAACCAAAACCCCGCCGTTGTTCCGCTGCTTTTAGGAACTTCAGTGCAGAAAAAAAATATTTAAGCATTTCTAATATTTTCTAACAACTTTCATTTGTGTAGTTGGGTATTTCTGCTGTTTACCACAAAAGGGGAAAAAGAACCGTCTCTGGGAGCAGGCAGAGACCGACCTGACTGATCATTTCCGGGTTAAAGGTGGTAATTTTTTAACGTTTGATTTCACATCTATTTCCGCGTTGTTAGCATATTAGCATTAAGCTAACTGCTTTCTGGAAATTAGTTAACTTGTGTAATTTATTCCGACTCTGACCGTCGTTTTCCACGCACGCCGTTGTTCGACATAAGGAGATACACATTCAAGGTCTCTGGGCAGAGAGTGTAAGCTAAAGACGAGTGGATATTTTACTGTTTTGACATGTTTCTGACGTTATCTGTATATGCTGTTATGGTTCGCTAGCTAGCTAGCTAGCTACTGCCTAATGGGTGGCTAACCTGCTAGCTCCCTGCAACGTACAGAAGAGCACTAAGAGGCATTTAATTGATGTGTAATTAAGGGTTGTCAGGTTTGATGGGCAGGACACACTGGATCAGATGTTTGCTGTTCATCTTTTAGTAATTTAGACCTTTAGCTTCATCAGCAGATGAGTCATAACACAAATGGTGATGGGCTGTTTTTAACAAAACTGTCTTTATATAGAAAGCAGAGTACAAAAAAATGTACAAACGAAGAGGAACACTCTATAGATATGGGAGTTAAAAATAATCTCGAAAATACAACATTAAGTATTCTCAGCATCCTATTAAGTGTCATAAGGGCTCTCTAATGGTGAGTTCATGACAAAATATCAAAAACCTATAGTCAGTAGAAGTAATTAAGGTCATAAATCAGCTGTAACACAACAGCCTTTAAACTTCAAACCAGCAGAGTCTAAATGTGTACCATGAGTTTTACAGTTAATATAATACAGGACGAAACAGAAACAGAAAGCAGACACACACAGCAGGACAAGTGTTAGATGCATCCTGTCAAACAGTCTTTTTCAGTGAAATTTAAGCCTTTGTGAGCATAAAAATTATTTTTCAAATTTTCACTTTCACTCCTTCATGCATCACTGTAGCCTAAAACTGAGACTGTGCTGTGTTAATACTCCATCTCCAAGCTTTTTCTCTTACAAATAATTTACTTGTGGAAAAATCAATTTAGTCTCTGACATGTCAAGAATAATGGATTGCTGGTTATCTTGGGCGTTCCAGACATTTTCTGTCATGATTGTGTAATTATACATCTTTTTTTTTGGAAACTGACTTGAAGAACTATATGGGAATGTGTGATTTTATTATTTTTTAAAAGTCTAATACACCCTAAAATCAAGGCATTTCATCACATTGACGAAAATGTCTTACAAATCCAAACACAACCAAAGATACTAATGGAATAGATACTCGCCCAAGCCATGCTATGACTCGTATGGGAAAATGTCTCCTGTGATTCCAGGTGAAGGATGCTGCTGGAGGGTTTTTGGGAATGAACTTACTGGGAATTTGCTCTTCAATTAGGCCCCAGGCAGCAGAACATCCTTCAGTAAAATGTGGAGTAACGATGTCAAATTTGACACGGTTGTGACACCGACGTTGACGTGTCAGCTGAGTCACACTCAGTCAGACTCCACATGTGAACCAGTCAGCTGGACGTGTGGCGGTGGTGGTCAGCTGAGGAGCAGCAGCTCCACCATGAAGCAGCACAGAGACGTCTGCCAAGAACGAGGCCGCAACCTCAGTAACAGATTCACTGTTCATTGCATGTGAGCTTAGCTTAGGGTGTGATCTAGTTTTTCGCTTGTTTACCGTGTGTGTTAGTCATTTGATTATGAGTTAGACCAGGTATCGCTGTGCTGTAAACGGTTTGGATTTGTAACTTTTTTTTTTTTGTTTTAAGTTGTTTTGTCTGTGCCTGCTATTTTACAGGGTGTCAGGTCTGGTTCAGGGTTGTTGAACAGTTAATGCACAGAGTAAAGAGGCTGAAAATTGAAGACAAAACAGAAGACCACCAGGAAAGGTAGGGCAACGTTTGAACTCAAAGCTGTCTCAACAACATTCAGATTTTCATTCATTTTGATCAATTGTTTATTTTTTTTGGCATTATCAGTGTTTTTTCCATCGTGGTCACCGCTCAGAAAGATTTAGAAAATGTTGTGAAATATATCTGATCTCATATTGACATGAGTTAGTTTGTACAGCTCTTTGTCATGAGGCTGCGTTTGGCTCTGCGTTGGTTTAGGCTAAGTGCTAAAGTTGATGCTAAAGAGTAGCAGATGATTACCTTGGTCATTATTAGTTATTATTCCAACAGATTGTAGTTGACTGTTGCTCCTGCTGATCACGCTGGACTTTACTCACACACATACTTATACACAAAGACAACCAAGCACACTCACATTCACACCTACGGACAATTTAGAATCACCAATTAACCTCAACATGTTTCTGGACTGGGCTGCAAGGTGGTGCGGTTGGTAGCATCGTTGCCTCGCAGCAAGAAGGTCGCCGGTTCGCATCCTGGTGGGATCTTTCTGTGTGGAGTCTCCATGTTCTCCCCGTGCAGCGTGGGTTCTCTCCAGGTTCTCCGGCTTCCTCCCACAGTCCAGAAACATGTTGAGGTTAATTGGTGATTCTAAATTGTCCGTAGGTGTGAATGTGAGTGTGCTTGGTTGTCCAGCCCCATGCGACCGTAGTGAGGATTAGGCGGTGTATAGATGATGTACGGATGTTTTTTGACTATGTGGGAGGAAGCTGGAGAACCCGGAGGCGGTGTCCTCACCCGCGACCTTCTTGCTGCGAGGCAACGGTGCTAACCACCGAAACATCCTGCAGCCCCACTGTATTGATAAAAATCCTAATTAACATAACATTTAAATCTTAACTTTAAGCTTTGACACATGCAGATGATTAAAAGTCCAACAGACCGGTTAAATACTCCTCAACAAAGATGTTGTATTTGCATATGCTCCTTTGTGATAGTCATTGACTGTAGATTGATCTGAGCTGATCAGCCTTTGTGTCTGTCAATAGCGTGAGAGAGGCACTGGCAGGAATGACCGGCGTGGATGAGCTTTCAGACAGCACAGAAGTGGTCGAGATGGAGGACGTGAATCCTACTCAGTTTCAGGTGGAGAAGCACACATGGGATGGCCTGCGGAAGATCATCCACAACAGCCGCAAAAGCACCGGTGTGGTTATCAACAAGGCGCCGCACGACTTCCAGTTCGTCCCGAAAGACGAGGCCAGTCCACACTCTCATCGCATCTACTACCTTGGTGAGCAGTGGCAACTGAAACCTGAGATCTGACGCAGTGATATCAGGCAGAGTTTGAAATTAGGATGTGCCAAGTGCTGTCATTTCCTACAAGAGCTGTCAGAAATGAATAAATCCCTGCTCAGATAGCTGCTTTGAGCAGGCCTTGACTTGTTGGCTTGCAGATTCAGTGGCTGCCTTTCAGTCACTTTGAAAGGTAGCAAGCTTCTGTGAATAATCTGGATGCAGCTGGTGAGTCAGAGTTGCCAGCCTGCATCTGCTTTCAAGCTCATTTCATTTCCAAAGAGCTGCAGTGACTCTAGCTAGTGTGTGCTGGAGAAAATGTGGAACTCAACCAGGAACATCATTTTTGCTTTGTGGACATCTTTCTGCCTATTTTCAGTTGCAGCTATCGTGCACAGACATCCTGTGAAATGGTTGCTGTTTTTGCTGCCCTGCATCAGGCAGTTAGAGAGTTTGGTACCTTTTTTTTTCAGGGCTGTGTCAAGTGGGTTCATATAAACTACATTAAGTCTGCTCGACCTGCACCCATGAAAGCGTGGTTGTTGACGATATGAACAGTCAGGCCAGGATGACACCTATTGTTGCATTTAATATTCTGATCTCTCAGCCATTTGCAAAGTAAAAAATATAGTCTTCATTTTACAATTAATAAGTTGGACTAATTAGCAGTGGTTTTGCTGCTCTGGCTTCTCTGTGACCAGCAGCATGTGGTGGATGATATTGGCAAGCTTTGGTTAGCTCATGCTGTGTAGCTGACAACACTACACACATGTACAGACCTGCTTTCTCTACTTGTGCTATTGTTGTGCTACAATTAATCATTTACTGTCATCGGCAGCATTTTTCAGCGCAAAATATTTCATGTTTCGCAAACATCTGTGGTTGGGCTACTGTTTTGCAATATAATTCAACCACCATGCAGGAAGAACAGGAAGCACAACCAGTTTTGACAAACAACGCTGCCAGAAATTCACCAGAATACGAAAGCAGCCATTCAGAAAAGTTCAGGTTGCACGTAGAGCTTAGTGTAACAATAATAGTCATAATAATAATATCGCAGTTGATGAAGTTTTTGCTTTTTCTGGTGTAGATACAGAACAACCTAAACAGACTGCTTCCAGAAATGTTCGTCAGCGTACAAATGCATCTTAATTTTAGCTGTGATCTGCTTCTGTTACAACCCACATTTGAAGTCATGCATATGCTTACATGGACAAACCCTGTTGGAAAAGTTAATCCTATAATACATGCCCAAGACATCAAGGCTCTTCTGCAGAAATCCAGCTGTGCTACAGAACCATGTTTTTCTCACTCCTTTGCCCCTCTTTAAAGAAGCTACTGCAGGCAACTCACAATAAGCAGGCCACTGAAGTGCATGTAAACACACTCATTAGACAAGAGATGACATGATCACATCCCAGTCGAAAACACCACCGAAAGCACCGGCTGTGATTGCCAGAGTTTGTGCTGCATGTCCTGGAGGGCCTCTGTAAGGAGCCTCTGTACACCAGCGCTACTCTTCTCAGTCCTAGTTGAACCTAAGCTCATCTGCAACATGATAAATGGACTTTACTTGGGCTGACGGATTCTGTCTGTGGTGTCTGTCCTCTTAGGAATGCCTTACGCCAGCAGGGAGAACGCGTTACTCTACTCAGACATTCCCAGGAAGATACGCAAAGACGCCCTGCTGGTTTTGTCATGGAAACCGATGCTTGATCACTTTCAGGTGAGGATGATTTCTAGCCCCTTCTCCTTTAATCCACCATTTTTACATGATTGAATCTTTTCCAGACATCTTTTAAAGACAGCACATCATACTGTTGTGATTGTCAGCCACTTTTATACCATTATGGTCTGAGAAGTCTACTTCGAAATGACAGAACTTGTGTAGAAATATTCGCTGCAGATCAAAAGCCCAGCCTGCTGTGAAAGCCTCGCCTCACTAAAAAGATTATTCATGCATTCCTACAAACAGCTGTCTGTCCCTTGGACTTTGTTGCTGAGGATGTTAGGCTGAAGGATCGTGTGTTGTTGGTGTCCATTTGCAAATCTTGGATTACGTTCTGGTTTGAACGCGTTCAGATGTATTTACGAACAGGAGAAATGAGAAACGAAAGAAGTAAAATCCCACTGCTGCTGTGTAGTTTAGTTGTCAGGCGAAGGGGCAGCTTCAGGAAGCTGACCAACCAGAACAGAGTGGGCTCAAACGGTCTCTTTCAGACAGAGGCTGAACTGACAGGCTGCATAAAGGGCCAGTATGAGACAAACAAGGAATTTCTTTAATTGCTCCTGAATAAAAATCTAGACCTGGATATGTGTGTGATATGTCCCTGGTAGGATTATTTAATTGTTCAGAGACTTGTTGTGAACCTTTTTTAATGACATATGCCTTAATGGAGCTTTTAACTGCTGATGTAAATTTCCTCTTAAAGACCGATTAACCACTTGGGCCACGAGAGAATATTCCAAGAGACCATTAGACTGATGCTCATTGCGATCCAGCTGTTACACTGAGCGTTGCTGATTTTACAAACAAAATTTGCTCCTGCTGAGGAGAGAAAAGAGGTTTTGTTTACAGGCACGTGGTGACTCTCTCTTTAGTTTAGTACGGTAATGTTTTCTTACCATTTGTTTGTTTTCCATGCCCTGAACAAGCTCTCTTTGACCTTGACTTCGGTCGGCCAGCATTGTCACGTTGTGTGTCCTCCTGTCACCCCTGACCTCAGGCCAGCCCTCACCACGGGGGCTTCTCTCGGGAGGAGGAGCTGCTGCGAGAGAGAAAGCGTTTGGGGGTGTCTGGCATCACCTCATATGATCACCACCGACCCAGCGGCCTCTTCCTGTTCCAGGCCAACAGCAGTCTGTACTACTGCCGTGACGGTGGAAACAACGGCTTCATTGTGAGTTAGAGGACAGTAGAGCAAGAGTTTCACATCCACACAGGAACAAATGATTATTACAGACCTGCAAAGAGTGACTGGAAATGTCTCAGCAATTCTTGGCTAAAGACTGAGATTTCTGAAGTCTTCTTTTTATTCTTTAAAGCACTGTTGGGCCTCTATTTAGATCCCCAGTAGGAATATGAACATTTCAGCCTGAAGTTGTTGCCTGTATTTCTGCTGTCGGCCAGTGTATCCTGAGTGATGGCTCCATTCTATACCTGCTTATTGTGAACTGATATCAGCCTATTAGAGACACAGTAAACCAATGCTTGAGTTGTTTTAGAGACTGTGTTTGATTATTACATGGTGTGGCCACTGGAGAGTGCTGACAGGTTAATTTTTCAACTAAAATATGTTCCTTATGTCATATAATTCTTATGATGCTTTGTGATTTTTGTAACTGTCCTCTGAAGACAACTTCTTCAGCTTCATCCCATTGCACTGTTCAAACTATCATATTTAAGCTTAAAAAGTGGGAGAACATGTCAACCCATAAAGAAACCCCTTAGTTTATTCGAAAGCTTGGTTTGCCAGTTTTTTTTTTTTTTTTTAATTCTCAGTTATCTATTTTGGTGCTAAGAGGTTCTGCAGTCGTACATTTACTTGTAGAGGGTTTGTCTTTTTCACATCTTTACCACTGTTGTTGAAATAGCAGCTGTGGCTTCAGATGTTTTACATCTGCTCTGTGTGTTTCTTCAGACTTCTCCAGTGAATCCAATAGAGATTAAGAGCCAGAATTCAGGCACACGCATGGACCCCAAGATCTGCCCCGGCGACCCCAACTTCATTGGCTTCATCAATAACAATGACATTTGGGTGACAAGTATTGAGACCGGAGAAGAGAGGAGGCTCACCTTCTGCCATAAAGGTGAGCACTGAATCACGTTCTCATGCTCTGACCTGCTCGTCTGAACGTCTGTCAGATATCTGTCATATTTGCTTTGCATGTTTTCATTTTAGGTATTGATAACCCAAAAGAGGATACCAGATCTGCTGGTGTAGCTACCTTTGTCACCCAGGAAGAATTTGATCGCTTCACTGGATACTGGTGGTGTCCAGCTGCTCGTGAAGGTGAGTGAGTGTGTTGTTGTCAGCTTTAAAAACTATTTTATGAAGGATATTGATTATTACATTCAAATGGTTTATGAATAAGATTGTAAAGATGAGCAAGGCCTAAAAAAATATTCATATAAGACATTTTTTAAAAATGGAACCAGGAGTCTTTGGTGAACAGTCGTATTAGTAGCAGTGAGTGTATCTGAGTAGTTTGTTCCCAAGACAAAGATTTCAAAAACATCGTGGCACCCTGCATCCTTTTTTGTCATTTGTCTTTGGCTCAGAGCCAGACGGTGGTAAGACTCTGCAGATTCTGTACGAGGAGGTGGATGAGTCCGAGGTGGAGATCATCCACGTCCCATCTCCAGCTCTGGAGGAACGAAAGACAGATGTCTACAGATATCCACGCGCAGGTATGAAGGCACTGAAAAACTCTGTTAAGAACGTTTATTTAAAAACCATCTATACGATATGTGTACATGTATTTATTTTTCCTGCTGCCTCTGTGTGGGTTTAGGTTTTTGGTGCAGTAATTTCACCCTGCTGTCTCTCACATTCCCCTCTCTGGTCGTTAAATCTGCTCACATTTTGGTACATAACTCAGTTTCATTTATTTCCAGGCAGCAAGAATCCTGATATCACTCTCAAAATAGCAGAAATCAGAACAGACAATCTTGGCAAAGTGAGTGCTTGTTCAGTGCCACAGTACTTCCAAATATGTTACTGATGTATTAGTCCACCCACAGTAAACACAACGCTCAAACGCTCTTTGTTGTGGTCTGGTTGATGTTGTTTCTCTCCCAGATTGTCAGCACACAAGAAAAGGAGCTGCCTGTGCCATTTACCAGCCTGTTTCCCACCGCTGAGTACATCACCAGAGCCGGATGGACAAAAGATGGTCGATAGTAAGTTTCTTCTCCAGGCGGCTTAACAACACAACACGTGTGACTTTAAAAGCAGCACATGCTGAAGTTTGCACCCGTCACAACTTGTCCTCTGTCTGTGTGTCAGTGCATGGGTGGTCATGATGGACCGGCGGCAGCAGAATCTGCAGTTAGTCCTGCTGCCTCCTGCACTCTTCATTCCTGCACATCAAGACGAAGCCAGCAGACAGGAGAGCCTGGAGGCCCTCGGAGACACAGTCCAGCCCTTCATCATCTATCAAGAGACCAGCGATATCTGGATCAATGTAAGGCCCAGCACCACATCTCTCTAGAACCCAGTTCATGTTGAAGCCAAGAGAGCCCAGTGCAGTTTTCCACTCATGTCTGAGTCAGATTTCATTGCTTCTGATTGGTGTAAGCAGCATAGAAACAGATTTAAGTAAATATCTGTAATGTATGTGTTGTTCATGGTCAGATCTCCTTTTCTGCACTTCGACTTTATTCATTTTATGTGAAGTTTTGCTTAATGCAACTTTTAAAAACATTTTCACTTTGTTTGTTCTACAGGTCCACGACATCTTCCATCCTTTCATCCAGACCAGTGATGATGAGATCACCTTCATCACAGTGAATGAGTCCAAAACAGGCTTCTGCCACCTGTATAAGATCACCTCGGTGTTACAGAGGGGCAGCTATCACTGGGCCAAAGGCTTCACACACTCTGAAGGTAACACCAGGCTGACGTCACACATTCATTATGAAGTTGTTGTTGAAGGATGAAGTCAAAAAACAAACAACTCCTTGAATCAATCTTACTGTATAAAATGTATTGCCTGGTTGTTTAAGGGTCACTTTCAACATGTTTTTGAAAGTGTTTTCTTTCATTAGCAGCTCTGTATGTGCTGTGGGATTCTGTTTGTTAACTTTATTCAAATTCATTTCACAGTCTCTGCTGTTTCAGTTTTCATTTTTGTTTTATCTTAAGTTTGATGACTAATGTTTCAATTGATCCACTTGCATGACCTCCTCACTCCAATGTCATCAGATGATTTCAAGTGTCCGGTCAAAGAGGAGGTGACGGTGACCAGTGGGGAGTGGGAGGTGCTGGCCAATCATGGTGCAAAGGTTAGTCCTGCCCATATATCTGTTGAAGCTAGCTGGCATTTATAGTTATTGATAGTAACTGTAATATTTACACAAATGATCCACTCCTGAGTACACTGAGTTGTAAATTGCACTTGAGATGCACTGCGTAGTGGCTACATTCAGAATGAATAGTGCATTAATGTGAGCAGAGTTACTCAGTTTGAGTACCAAATAGCTGAAGTTCAACAAAGGCAGAAACCAACTGCTTAAACAAAACATACCAACAGTATTTCTTTCTCTTTGGTGTTTGTGCAGCGTTCATCTAGTCCTCAGATTTGGGTGGATGAAGCAGCAAAACTGGTTTACTTCCAGGGAACCAAAGACTCTCCTCTGGAGCACCACCTTTACGTCGTGAGCTACGACTCACCAGGTGAAATCGTCAGACTCACCAAACCTGGCTTCTCCCACAGCTGCTCTGTGAGCCAGGTATCCCAGCACACTCTCATGCTTATCAGCCGATGCTGTGTAATGACTCAAAACTTTTGCACTTTTCCATGGTAAACTAACCTTTCTTCACATTTTCTTGCTGTGTGTTCACATAACAGTGTTGTTTTTTTCTTTTTGCTTAGAATTCAGTTTGTAAATATAAGATTTAAAGGCATGGTTTCCTTTTGGTCCTTCAGCAGCAGAAAATTTCATGAGTCATGTATCAGCAGTGATGCATTTCTTGCTTATTACAAGGACTTTAGTGCCACAACCCGGAGTTTCGCAGCTTAAACTTGTGATTGACTTTGCAGTCTTGCAGAAAGAACAGTTTACTGGAACAGCAGTCCTTTAATTCAATATTCGTTTGGTGGACCTCTGATGGAGTCTTCTGTCTGACCACAACTGCAATGCAGCTGCACTTCTTGTTTGTTATAAACGTGTTTGAAGTGTTCACGTGCAGTTTAAATGCTGTCAGAGACTTTGTCTTTCCACATTTCTCACATATTTATATGATGAAATGAGTTTATATATAATATTAAACCAATCCATTTGTGCCCTTAAAAGAAAAATACAGGATTGGCAACAGCTTTTTAGTCAGTGTTGCTGAATTCAAGTGTTTTCCTGAATCTGTTTTTGACAGAATTCTAAACAGTTGGTGACACTTTTTAACCTGGAATTTCTCTTTTCTTTCACACAGACGTTTGATCTGTTCGTTAGCCATTACAGCAGCTTGACCTGCCCACCTTGTGTTCACATCTACAAGCTGAGCGACTCAGACGGCGACCCGCTGCACAAGGAGCCTCAGTTCTGGGCGAGCATGATGGAAGCTTCTGGTACTGACTTCTCCGAGAAACCAAACGATTTTTAAAAAAAACTGACAGTTGAACTAGTAGTTAGCTGCTGCGCCTTTTAGTTTCTTACTGTCTGTAAAGATAGACAAACTATTTAGGTCTTAGACGTAAACTTAGCTGTGCACATGATGTAGAATTTATTTTTTGTGCTGTTTTTTGTTTCCAGGTTTCCCTTTTGACTCCACACCTCCAGAGATCTTTAGCTTCACAGGGAAGTCAGGCTTTGAGCTGTATGGCATGTTGTACAAACCACACAACCTGGTCCCGGGCAGGAAGCATCCCACTGTCGTCTTTGTTTATGGCGGTCCTCAGGTTCGATGTCTTCTACTTTAAACCACTTTAAAATTATAGTAGATTGATGTTGTGTAGCTTTATATGGATTGAGTCTTAAGTTAAGTTAAGTTAAGTTAAGTTAAGTTAAGGGTGTCTTGGTCACCTACACTCCAGCAGCTATTCATCGCTGTGACTTTTAACCGTTTGTCTAAATCCATCACTTCAAGTGTTTTTTAACTATCTGGTTTTGTGGGAGATTACAAATGCATATTTTATTGATTAACCCCCAGAACACCAAAACCTGCTGACAGGATATTTTTAAAAAATCACGAGAATTACACAATTAATCAGAACAAGAAACTATAAGAACAGAAAGAATCTTTGGATTTTCACATTTCTGACAGTCAGTAAACTAAAAATGTGTAATATTTGACTTCATTACAACAAACAACCAAATTTGTGCAAAAATTGGGATATTTCATCAAAATCATTTAAATTTGCATGTCTCGTTTAAAAATTTTTTTTAAAAAAAAGACTAAAATAAACTGTTTTCAGGAACCAGTTTCTGTAGAAAACCAAAAAATTCTGCGCTTCTTCGTACCAACAAGAATCCATGTTTGACTTGGAGCTGTGACCAGCATCCATCTATCATCTTTCACCGCTTAATCCTCATGGAGGGCTTGTTTTAGTTCTTTCTACTTCTAGCCTTGGTTGTCCTGTTTCTGTTTTCTATGGAGGTGCAGAACTTTTACGCTGCAGTGAAAAGTGAACACTCAGTGAAATAAAATGTGACTCGAACAAAAAAAGGCCCTGAAACAATTTGGGATTCAGAGGGTTAAGAAAACTTTGAAAAGATAGTTGTTTGCTTTGTCTGCCTTCTTTTCTCAGTACAGTCCTTTAGTTTAACTCGTGAGTGAGGAGTTCAGTGTTTTACTGGAGGGCATCCACCCACAATAGATTCTTGCAGCAGGAATCGAACCTTTGCCTGAGAAAGTACAAGATGCTTTCTTTTTTTGGTTAGTTATTGGAGATAAAAAGGATTCAGCATGACCACAGAGTAACATTATGAACTTGTGTTTTTCTTCCAGGTGCAGTTAGTGAATAACTCCTACAAAGGAGTGAAGTACCTGCGGTTGAGCACACTGGCGTGTCTGGGCTACGCTGTGCTGGTTATTGATGGTCGGGGCTCGTGTCAGCGAGGACTCAAGTTTGAAGGAGCTGTGAAGGACAAAATGGTAAAAATCATATTGGCTGTCAGAGGAAGTGAGAGTGAGACATTTATAGAGACTCAGAGGGAGCAGCCACTCTTCTTAACTTTGATGTTCATGCCAGCTGAGTGAAATATCTGTTTTTCTCCATCCAGGGTGAGGTGGAGATTGACGACCAGGTGGAGGGTTTGCACTATGTAGCTGACAAATACAAGTTTGTGGACCTGAGTCGTGTTGCCATCCACGGCTGGTCGTACGGAGGCTTCCTCTCCCTCATGGGCCTCATACACAAGCCAGACATCTTTAAGGTCAAAACCACCAACATTTAGTTGTTTTTTTTGTTAGATTTACCGTGAATATGTTTGAAATGACAAAGAGTGTTTGTCTCCTTGTTTGTTGATTAGGTCGCCATTGCAGGAGCTCCGGTGACGCTGTGGATGGCCTATGACACCGGTTACACAGAGCGATATTTGGACACACCTGAGAAGAACCATAAGGGATACGAAGCCTGTTCTGTCGCCCTGCATGTCGACAAACTGCCCAATGAGTGAGAGCTGCGACATTAAAACACATTTGTTGTAGTGTTGCTTCCATTTAGTCACCGTGTCCATAAAAAGTTTACTATAATATATAGTGTAGGAGGTTATGCTGCAGTTGCTTGCCTTCCAATGCTCACTTTGTGTTATCTGCCTCTTACTGGCTTTCTACAGATTCTGCAGCGGGTAGTTTTTTTTTTTTGCAGGTGGAATATTTAGATGCATAAGTGCTACAAATATATCTGTAATCATGAGTAAATACACACAGATTTTTGTGCTCATCACAGGCCCAACAGACTGCTGATCCTGCATGGATTTCTAGATGAGAATGTGCACTTTTTCCACACCAACTTCCTGGTGTCTCAACTCATCCGAGCAGGGAAGCCGTACAGCCTGCAGGTAGGACGGTTTACGCTGGTGCACTGGCTTTAGTGAAGACTGTAAAAAAGATGTGAGACTGAGTCTGGCTGGGTGGTGTTTTTATGAGCTGAAAAAAAAGAACAATTTATTATGAAACCTGCATCAGGATGACTTTGGAAAGAGGATTTAAATGACTCCCTGTTGAAGTGGCTCTGGTTCTTGTTGGGGTGGTGGACTTAGGCTTCAAAGCTTTGGAGATGTTTGGAAACTGTGTTTAATAATTTTACATGAATCAATTAAATAAATCTACAACCCTTGATGTTTTTTCTCCACAAACTTAAAGACAAAAGCATGAAAAAAATCCTCCAGAATTATTAGCAAGAGGATATGAAATGTGAAATACTGCATCCTGTGTATGCCACAGTGACTGAACACATTGGTTTTCTGTTTCTCCAGGTTTATCCCAACGAGCGCCACAGCATCAGGTGTCCTGAGTCTGGAGAGCATTATGAGATCACGCTGTTGCACTTCCTCCAGCAGAACCTCTGATAAGCCTTTTTACACACTGACCTTCCCTCCTCGCTTCCTACCCTCCTCTCCTGTTTTACATTCCTCCATTCATCCAAAGCTGCATCACCTCTTGCTTCATTCCATTTCAAAATCTGTTGAATGCAAATGATGCCAAACCTCACCTCAAGAGCTGTTTGTCAGTCTTAACGGTGCTGCAGCATTTGAGCATTAATAGTTCATTACAAGACTGAACTGTGAGTATAGCTAGCATGAACAGCACCATCACCGAGCAGACCTCATGTAGCATTTTAAGCTGCGTTTGACAGTCAAGGGAAAATTGATGAACTGCTTGAAGCCCTACAACCATCGGGGGGCGCTGTTCACCCAGAACACACAGGCCCGGAGCTTTCTGAGTTTGTAGTGATGCTAGAAAGTAAAAGAAGTAAATAAATGTCAGAGTGACAGAAATGATTATTGAAGTTTAAAATGCTGCTTGTTGCACCATTAACAGACCAGAGTCATCAGCAATGCAAAAAGTACAGACATGGGCCTGCTGGCCCAGTTTTTAAGAGCAGTTTCTCTCTTTTCTTTCTGGTGCCATTCCTTCTTTCTCTCTGTGAGTAAACACTGGTGTGAAATTAGTCAATGGAAAGCTCGATAAGAGCAAACAAGCAACGCTTATCTCCCTTCGTCATGTACTTTGTGGTCTTTGTTTGCATTGAGATTTGTCTCCTATGTGCTGTCATAGAATACTTTTTATGTGGTTTGCCAAACGTTGGCAGATATAGAAGAAAAAAAAAAAACATGCTGAGTTTTTATTGCGTATTATTAAGAAATGACTTTTATAGATTCTTATGCATTCATAAATGGTGGAAATATGTAGCGACCCGTCGCTGTTTCACTCAGTCGCTTGCTTTAACTTTGTGGGAAACTTCTTTTTCTTCTGCTGCTGAGGACTTTTGCACAGTACATGTTTGCCTTGGTGCCAACAAACTGACCTATACGATGTTTGACAAACTGTTGGCAGTCTGAGGTGCCTTGCAAGAGTTTAAGAGCACCTGCTCACATAGTATATAAATATATATTTCAGGGAATCTGTCGGAGGACCTACGACAATAAAAACAATAAAATGCCTCATTACTGAAGTGTCTGAACATCTGTAAGATGAGCTGTGATGATCTGTACATGCTTCAATGTACTCTCAGATATTAAAGAAATAAACAGAAGTGAACAATCTTTTTCAAAGTCTTGTCATCAGGTCGACTTTATTATTTTTTAGAAGCCTTTCAGTAATGATGTTCTAGGGGGACAAAGCTGAAACGTTAGTTTAGTTAGTGGCCTGTTAAGAGCTTTTGTGTTTGAGTTCAGGAACACAGAAATGAAACAGATTTAAAGTGATATCCATCCATTATCTCTACACCTTAATCCTCACTAGGGTCATGGGGGGCTGGAGTCTATCCCAGCTGACTCAGGGTGAAGGCAGGTTCACCTGGACAGGTAACCAGTCTATCACAGGGCTACACTTAGAGACAGACAACCAAGCACACTCACATTCACACCTACGGACAATTTAGAATCACCAATTAACCTCAGCATGTTTCTGGACTATGAGAGGAAGCCGGAGAACCCGGAGAGAACCCACGCTGCACGGGGAGAACATGCAGAAAGATCCTGGGTGTCCACACCGGGACACATTAAAGTGATAATTTACAACTTGAATTTGTTTCTCAACGCTAATGAGAAGATAAAGATTCAGCAACAAAAGCTGCTTTGTCAGGTTGAGCGATAAAGCCTCAGGAGGTTCGTGAGCCTATCCCGACCTTGTTCGTCCGTTCAGATGTTCAGGATAAATGTGATTTTAATGGTGTGGTAGTAAATCTGAGAGCAGCATGTTGTGACGTACGACTTACTTTGAGTCGAAACTGGAGGTTCAAAGTGGGGCAATAAATTAAAAAGAACGTTTTCCAGACTCATGTCACATTATAGGATTAACAGACCTCTTATAAGTCAGTCACTCTGTAGCTCAAATAATCAGTTAAATGAGTGAAAATGTCAAATCTCTTTTCATGGAGATGCAAACTGCAGCAACTTGAACCGTAAATAAAGAGCCGGCGATTATTCAATGTTTAAAAAGTTTATTTTCATCCACTTCATATAAATGAAATACAAAATGTTGTGTATAAATGTTTGAAGTAAGAAACTGTACATTCTTTAAGTAATTAAAACAATTACAATATATTAGAAAACAAGTAAAACCCTTATAAAGGGAATAGCAGTACAACCGTCAATATGACTGAACACTGACTTGTTGGGTTCTCATATAGCATAGCATAGAATTATAGGATCATCCAGTGCGTTGAGATCAATAGTGTGCAGAATAAAACCCATCCTGCTCTCAGTCCTTTAGTAGTTTAAGTTAGAAACAGTCTCTGGTTCTGAGTAACTTTGGTGCTCTGCTGCTCAGTCTCTTAGATGCAGGATTATTGTTTCATGGACGCCGGTGCGATCTTCAGCAGTGTGCTCGTCAGAGAGCTTCTCCGTCCCTCTGCGTTCGTCCAGAACATGGCTTGTCTCCTGGACTTGTGTCCCCTGAGCTGGCTCGGCCTCCTGGGATACTTTCCGTTCAGGTTTGATTCACCGCAGCTGCTGAACCACCAACCACCTGCAACAAAGGAGCGTTTTTATGAATGACTGTCCCTTCAGTTTGAGGTTTACATGTTTGTTTTTTTAATGCGACTCCTAGTCAGGATTTCAGGGAGGCGTTCGTACCTGACAGCAGCTTGGCACAGTTGACGTCTGCGGCGAGGTCGTTGTCGCTGTCAGCCGTGGAGAAGGGAAGACCAGAAGCTCCAGTGCTCATGGTTTTCTCTTGAGCCCCAGATGAAGACTCCTGCTCGAGGTGGAGGGCAAACTTCTCCTCTTCTCCGTCAAGGTGGAAGAGAAACCGAGCCTCGTGCTGCTGCCCCGCCTCATCGGAAAGCTCCACCTGCAGCATGTACTGTCCTTGTTTGGAGACCGAGCGGATGTTTTCCAAGCCCAACCAGAACTCGTCTGAGAGATGAGAAATGCCACGATTACCTTCTCTGACGGGGGTTTAGTGATTCACATTGTTTACCTCTCACAACATTAACATTTTAGGAGGGATTCTGTCTTCTCACCGTTCAGGCTGCCGAAGCCTTTCTTGTAGCTCTCCCACAGCTGATTGAAGCTTTGGAATCCGTCTTGACGTTTCTGGATGACGGTCCATCCACCGTCTGCAGAGAGAGCAGAGGAAAGCTTGAGTCAAAGAGGTTTTTAACACTTAGTATTACACACGTTTCTCAGAAGTTACTGTGGACTTTATCATAGTCAGGCTGTAATGGAAGTGCGGCCAAAACAACAAAAACACAGCCAGGTGTAGCCCTAACCCTAACCCGAACCCTTTTTTGAAAAAGAAGGTGCTGTTTGACTCACCTGAAGTCATTTCACAGAGGACGTTGAAGGGCTGGGAGTTCTCAGGCTGGATGGTGTAGACTCCGCTGGCTCGCTGCCCTCTGACGAACAGATCATGACAGTCTGTGGCCAAATCTGAAAAACAAACAAAAAATTAGATGGAAATCAGATCATTGACGATGAGTCGGTGCGACCGGCTGCATGTCTGCAACTTAAACTTTAAATCAACAGATGATGCTCTTTCAATTCAATCAGAGGTCGTTGCCTTCAGTTTTATCTCTGGAATTATTTTTATACTTTGCTTAAGACAGCAAATCTGTGTGTGTGCTTTGCTGTGCCCTACAAACATACTGTACAGTAGGTGGGTTTTAAAAGCTGCTGTCCTCATTTTCTATGCTCTTTGGACTTTGTTTGAACAGCTCTGCCAGCGAGTCAAACAATATAAACGCAGGAGCAAAGGTGAACTTTTTTTGCTCTTATGTCACATGTAATAAATCGACAGCTCGTGCATGTCTGCAGGTATGAAAAGACCTTCTCTGGCTTCAGGCTGTAAAACCGTTTTTTTTTCTTTTAGGTTTCTGATTTTGTTCCTGATGTTAACAGTGATCCAAGATGAGATGTTTCTGTCTTCATGTTTCACTACTTAAGGACTAAAACCCAGGAAAAGAGGGAGTGACCCGTACTTGCTATTGAGTAGGAGTTGAGCTTTAACTCAGCAGTTAATTTTTCAGGCATGCAGCACTCCAAAGGTCTGAAGTGTTTCGGCTGCTGTCTTTTGAACATTGTCAATCATTTAAAGTTTTCCCTGCACTCGCACACATCACTTTAAACAACACTTCAGTTGGGTTTTTGAGGCTCAAACGTTAAGAAAGTTACCTGATTGGGTGGAGATGTGATCAGCCTCGCCCCTCAGCGCCGTCTCCTCATCTCTGCGTCTGTGAGATTTCACTCTCTTATGTGCAACCTGCAGGAGACACAGAGGAGAAGCAAAAGATTCAAATCTCTCCGGTCAATTGAAGCACACATTCCTGCTGATTTTAAGGCGGTCTTGTGGTTCCAGCTCACCTTGCTCTGCAGTGCTTGTAGGTGCAGACTCTGCTTCTCTAGTTTGTCTTGCTGCTGCTGGATTTTCTCCACCAGCTGGTCGATGCGTCGGTTCTGAGCTGCCACCAGTCGCTGGAAACGACAGGAAAATAGTCAGCTTCATAGACACGGTTTTATTTCACATGAAGCATTTGTCTGTCTCTTTAGATGGACAAGAGCTGCAGATGGTGTGTGACTGGTCTGTGCACAGCTCTGCTACTCCTCTGTGTTTATCATCATCAATGCAGATGTTGAGAGAACTTTTCTTTTTTATCCAGAAAAACAACAGTAAAGCATTTGTTTCCTCTTACCTGGATGAATGGGACTCCTGCGTGGTCGCTGTTGTTGCTGTCCAGTGTGGGCTCACTGAGCACTTCTTCCAGTCTGTCCATCCTGGAGTGGATGTCCTCAGTCTCCTTCTTCACCTCCTCCACCTTCACCTTCACCTCCTGGGCCAGCTCTCCTGCCAGCTTCTCCCTCTCCTCCACCTGCTTGGTTCTGGCCCTCAGACCTTCATCTTGCTCCTGCTGCCTTCTCTCCAGTTCGGCCACTGTGCTGTTGAATTCTTTCAGCTTGGCGCTGACATCTCTCATCTGGGCTTTTGTCTTGTCCACGTGCTCCTTCAGACCCTGGCCGAGCTGCAGGAGGCCGTGGGCCACCACGTTCACGTCGTCCCAGGAGGCCTGCTTGTCCCGTCCTCTCCTGTCAGTGGGGAAACCGGTGGCTGCATGAAGCAAAATGGTCAGAAGGAGGATGAGCAGCTGTGGCGTCTTCATCTTTGCGTAGATTCTGCAGTCTGTTACTAGTGCTGGTTCTGGTGTCTCTCTCTCTCTCTGTGTTTTTGCTGTATGGCATTGTGAGGTTTTTATAGCTCACTGCTGCAGCCGAGGACTCAGCGGATTGGCTGCCTGGAGGCGGAGGAGGAAGAGGAGGGGGGAGGACGGGGCGGGGAAAGTCCTTCACAGTGAGGACCGGTACCATGATGCAATGAAACGTCTGAATGACTGATTAAACACTCCTGATGCTGGAATGTAATGTGGATTTAGTTTTATTTTTAGAGTTTTTAATAAGCTTTTGGTGATGAAACTGTTTCATACACATCATTTTTCCAGTTCAGTTCTCTGTAGCTTCCTCATGTGTCCAAAATATTCCAATGTAATGAACAATCATCATTATTAATATCATTAATCATGTTTCAGCTTGTTTTCTGTGCTTGAATGGAAGTAAGTAGCACATATAAGTTTAGTATGTAAACGTCTGTCTGGCTTCTGATGACTTTAATACTTGTGGATATTTGAAGTGACAAAACAGGACTATAATACTACTGTACAATACTGTAATACTTGACTGTACTCTGTTACACAGCCATAATACACACTCTCAAAGTTTCTGTGTTGTAAGACCAAGAAAAGCAGTGAAGTCTGACTTGTGAAAAGTTGAAACCATCAGATGACTATCAGACTATTGCTGGAAAATTACCTTATTGTAATTTTTTTTTGATCTCCTTAATCAATGAGCTGAATCCTTCTTTGTAGCCCATCTCACGGGCTTCATGTCGTTCTGTTTTAGCCTTTAATGAAACATACATCCAACTCAAATTTCTTGCCCCTTTAAAAGTTTTACATCCGTAGCACAGCGCAGCTCGACAGCCGACGTGATTGATAAATGAAATTGTTAATAATTGCTTCCGCTTGTGAGGCTTTTGACCCCTGAATCTGAATGTTAAAGCACATCTCAGCGTGAAGCAGTTGCTGAATCAGGAATGCTGCAGTGAGCGAACAGACGAGGAGTCACTGTGAGAAGTAGGGGAAAGTTCAGCCCTCAGGCCGTTTTACACACTCATTCCTGACAACAAAATCCTGCCATCACACATGCGTGCACACTCCCAGACACAAGGCACGTGGTGTCCGGATTGCCAAACAGTGAAACACACAAAGACGGTACATGCTGGTGGGCCACTCCCTGGGTACATTTCTCTTCAGGGCTTTTTTTTGTTTAAATAACTAATCGATCGGTTCCATCCATAACTTACCAAAGCTATTTTTATTCTCAAATGATTGGTTGTCGTCCTTCAAGCAAGAAAAAAATCCAACTATTTCCATCACTGTCTTGATTTGTTTCCAGGAAAGATGTTTGAAGATGTCAGCTCAAGCTTTAGGAAATTAAATTGACAGTTTAGAGACCAAAGAAAAAATTAATTAAGAGAATATTTGTAGAATATCAGGTAATTAAAGTTATTGTTCATGTTAGGCTTAATCTCAGGTATATAAAAGGAAAGCAGCGATTGAAAGTTTGACCTGGTGAACGGTGGCAGATCACTGAAGTTATTTCATTTTATCCTTAAACACACATGAAAGTCTGTTGTAGACGACGTGAGATGAAAAGTCATGATCGCAAAGGTTCATCATCTGGGGAACGTGAGCATCAGCTACGTTTTGATCCAGTCCATCCTGTGTTTTTCAGTGGATGAGTGTAAACTCTGACCAGCTGTTGGCACTAGAGTCAGTGTCGGTAGGCGTTGATCCTCAGGAGAGCCTGAACGCTGCCACATTTAACACAACAGTTTGGGTTTTGTGGACGTCTGACCTCGCTGCACTGCAGGAGTTTTGTGTTCACACCACTGAACTGGGAGCGTGGCTGTTCCTGCTGATCCAGTCCACGTCCTCTGTTCTCTGCACGTATCCTCCAGCGTGCTGCGCTCAGCTGACGTAAGGCCGAGCGTTGTGTGTGTGCAGCTTTGTCCAGAATCAATTGGATGACGTGGACTTCTATCGTTTAACGTTTGACTGGAGACACTGATTGTTGCTCAGAGGGAGTCTAAAGGCAGCTTTGGATTGTTGGGTTCTCTGTTTACACTCATAAGGTCTTCACCTTACTATGTGAAGCGCTGTGAGATGACATAGCTTTAGCTCCTCAGGTGGGTCCGTCCTCATCGCTCCAAAGTCGAGGCTCAAATCCAAAGGCGACCGGGCCTTTTCTGTGAAGGCCCCTCGGCTTTGGAATGAGCTACATGAGGAAATAAGGCTTGCAGATTCAATATCTTCTTTCAAATCACTTCTTAAAACTCATTTTTATAGACTCGCCTTCGAGTGATGTTCTCTTTTATTTCTCTTGTAGATTTTTGCTCGTTTCTTTTCCCTTTTTATCGGTACTACCTGCTGTCCTCTCTTTTCTTTCTTAATCTACTTTTATCTTCATTCCCCTCTGTGATGTCGTCTTTTTAATCAGTTCTACGAGAACAACTTTCAATCGTGACCCAGTCTGTTCTTTTCCATTTTTATTGTGTGTACTTTTATATTTTGAGTGTTTGCCTGCACTTTTTATACAAGTTGTTTTTTCTTTATTATGTAAAAGCACTTTGCGATTTCTGTTCTTAAAAAGTGCTACACAAATAAAGTTTATTATTATTATTTATTATATGTTGTAAACTGCGCTATATTAAAAAAAACCTGAATTGAACTGAGTCACAACATCGATATGGTGCAAAAAAATTCTAGTATTATTATGACAGCTGTGATATTAATGGCTTCACTGTTAAGAAATGAAAGAGAATTGATTTTTGTCTCTGCTGTTATCACTTTATTTTTTTATCTCTGGCTCAGCGCAGACACCGAAAATAGAAAGCTGGCAGGGATTTAAAATTAGCCAAGCATTTATTTAAGCTGTACAAATACAAAATCTCAATAAGTCAGACGACCAAAGTGAGTTATATTTGCACAGTTACAAAGTACAGTCAGATATGTAAGATAAACACGGACGATTCTCGGAAATGTGAACCAGGATGCCTCATTTCATTCGTTTTCCTAATATAGCTTCAGCACTTTTACTTGCTTTTACACACTTAAAACATTTTTTCTATGATCGTTGTTGAGGCTTGTGGTCGTCTGACCTCGCTGCACTGCAGGAGTTTTGTGTTCACACCAGTGAACTGGCTGTTCCTGCTGATCCACTGCACGTCCTCTGTTCTCTGCACGTATCCTCCAGCGTGCTGCGCTCAGCTGACGTAAGGCCGAGCGTTGTGCATGTGCAGCTTCGTCCAGGATCAGCTCGACGACTTCCATCCTTACTCAGCTGCCTGAGCACAAAGCGTTTGACTTGCAGATGAGGTTGTGTTTGGACGTGACTGGCTGCATGTCGCTGCCAGGCTGAGCTGTAAAAACAGCTGTTTCCTGTAAGTTGGAATAAATGTGTGATTGTGGTGCAGAGCAGTTGTTTAAACACTGGAGGATCGGAGAGTTTGTTTAAAAATCAGCAGGATTTAAATGTGTGGTTGAGGTCATCAGAACATCTCGAAACCAAACCCTGGTACAGGATGTTATGAATGTAAAATCAGCTGCTAAACTGATGGAGCGTTTACAGGGAGTCCGGTTATCACAATATTTTATTGATGCTGTCAGCAGCTTATCTCTCAAGTCTGACTTCAAAATGAGCAGCAGCATATTTGACCTTTATTGGTGCGATAAGCTGCTGCTGTTATTGGTATTTTACTGTAAACTACAGATAATAAGTGAAAGGCATTCTGTGTTGCTCTTCGTCTGATGTTCTGCTGTTGCTGTACTTTACATGTTCACTGAAACTTTTCCCTGACAGCGACTGAAAGTGATGTTTACTCTGATCTCTAGGATCTGGCAGTTTGTTTTTAACTGAAACTAAAACAGAACCTTTACATTTCTATGGATTAGGATCCCTTTAGCTAAAATATCTTTTAATAAAACAAAGGATCAAGCAAATATGTCAGATTGTGTGTGGGGTCCCTTGTTCTATTTAAATCAAAGGAGTTTTATAGCATCTTTTAGCTAAATGTTTTGGGTTTTTGACCTCGACTTTGTCCATTTGGTTCTTGTACTGCTTTCATCACTGTAATTTTTGCTCTAAAGTCTCGCTGCACATTACCTGTTCAGCAGCAAACCGTAGAGAGACACAGTTAGTAACCAGCTGGTGAACACTGTGGACCATTCAGTGGTTAAAGATCCACATATTTTCTAAAAACAAAGTGAAATGAAGTGTGACTAGCACTGAGTGTACAGCTTGTTGTGTTCCCACAAAAGGCCAGAAATACCAAGTCTTAGGCACGAATTGTGTACAAAGGTGAGCGAACCCTCGGTGACGTCACTGAAAGGATTCCTGAAGAGCAGTTTTGAAATCCACTGTGGAGCCTCTGACCATCAGCATCTCACCAGCGCCTGACTCCTCCTCACGCCCAGCTAATCCCAAAATAAGCACAGAGGTGGAGTCACGGGCGGTGCTATGACCTCACTCACCTGCCACCCAGAATGATGCTTGACTTCTAGACTTAATACGGATTAAACATAAACCTTGAACTCCCATATAGTTTTCATGCACGAGGAAAACAACCACGGCAACCAAAGCCCTTCATTATAACTGACTGTAAACATGTTTATTTCTGATGAAAAGTTGTCCACTTTAACATGGAGGTCTATGGGGATTTGCTCACGTTTGGAATCAGCCTCAAGTGGTCATTTGAGGAACTGCAGCTTTTGATACCATTAAAAATCCTTTCTCTTGAATGAAAAATATTGATCTTCTGTAGATTTAGATGACTATGAAAAGCTTGCAGCTGTGTTTGCTCCATCATCAGCAACAACAATGAAGTTTTGAATTTAAATGTTTAGTCACAGTGAAGAATTTAAAAGGGATTTTAGACTAAATCTGTTCCCCTTCACCTTGTTTATACAGCAAAGTCTATATGTAGATGCTGATTGTGTTGATCGTCTCTCTTAGATAATGATAACAGCAGAAACATTTAACAAACAGGGTTTTCTGAAGATTCCAAAACTCAGATTACACAGATTCCAACAACAGAACATGTCCCATCAGACCTGCACATGTACAG